CAACATAATTATATATTGAAAATTGAAATTTATCACCACACACTTAAAGTGAATGGTGGGGGAACGATGATGAACCCGATCAAGATCCTATTGTTCCGTCATCTCGTGTCATCATTGTGAAACCCTTTAAATTTTCAAGATTTTTTTGGTTAACCTAGAGAAGTCCAAATCACAAACGTCTTCGCCAGAACATTTATAATATTGTGTTTTAGCTTCCTTAATTTTTTGATATTTTTTGGGCAATGTCGAAATTTCTTAAGAAATTGGCACCTGTTGGTACAAGTGGGGTTTTGGGGACCGTCAGGTGTCCGTTTTACAAATTGATTTCACCCTGATTTTTTTAATAAAATTTGGTAATTTATTAGTATTTTTCTGTAATTTTTGGATGTAAAAATATTAAAAAAATTGAATAAAATTAATATTTTAATATTAAATAATTATAATAATTAATATATAAATAAAATATCTCATCTCACTCATTTATATTATGATAAGAGATAAGCTCATTTCGGTTTTATCCCAAAACAGAGAATAGTTTAGGAATAAGAGAGAAAAAGCTAACTAGCTAAGTGAGAGAAAGAGAAAATCTGATTTTGGGCTACTTCGGGCCATTTTCATCCGTCGGTTCAGTTGGGAAAGTTGTTCATTCCGAGGTAAGTCACATAATCTCTATCTCAATTTTAAAAAATGTGTAAGTTTTACCGAATATTCCGATTAAAATTTTATTTCCGTTAGTGAAAAATGGGGGTAACTTTGCACCGGTAAAATATTCACTGCGTAACTTTTTGTATGTTGTAGAGATTACGATTATGTACATTTTGAATATTTTCTGAAAATTTTTAACTGGGTGTTTTGAAATTTGCGGGGTATTTAGTGAATAGAAAATTATCGGGATGTTGAAAAATAGTGCTGTATTACAATAAAAGTCTTAAATATTGTTTTACACAATTCCTGATAATTTGGTAATTTTTTAAAAATGTGCAATTTTGCCTAGTTTGATTTTCTATTGTCTGCCGTTACACAATACTGTGAAATTTTGATACATGCTCAATTACTTTTTAATTATTATAATATGATGATATATGTGTATATTTGATTAAATTATATCGGTTGGGAATCATAAGTGGCTAGAATTCTTCGAGATTCTGTCTATGTCAGGGAATTTCTGGGAGTTATAAGGGGCCAGAATCCTTTGAGATTCTGTCTGTGACAAGGATATCTGATATGCTTTGGTTCTATAAGCACAAATAAAAAGAGAAGTTATAAGGAGTCAGGATCCTTTAAGATTCTGTCTGGCTCCGAGAAATATGATATGAACTACTCTATGATATGAATTTCAATTTATTCATTTGTTCTATACTGTTATATGAATTAGAGAATAATTGATATGCATTTATTATATGAGTGTGCACTCAAGCTTGGAGCTTATTTGAAAATTCTAGTTTGTGTTTGTGTTGGTTGATGAGCAACCAAAATTTCTTGTACAAGTTCATTATAAAGGCCATTTTGTTGCAGTTTAGTCTTCATTGATTTCTTGTTTTTGAACATTTGCAAATTATGTCTTTGTGCATGTTTCATTTTGTTGTTGACTCAGGAGCTATATTATGTTTTAACTTCTTTAAATTGTTTAAGTCAATTATTTTATTGTAATTTCGGTAGCAACCCAACTTCGTCCCTACGTTGGGGGTTGCATCGGGTGTACTGAGCCTTTCCACCTGCTAATAAAAGCAGTAATTGTAGGTGTCTGGTGACACTACAACCAAAATTTCATTCCCTGCTTGCTAATAAAAGCGGTGATGGGTCTTCAAGTACCTTTTTATAAAACATACCATTTCGCTCCCTTAGATGTGTGGCAACCGAGGTGTCGACGATGATATGATAGTGACGGATATGCACGAGATTGTGGTGGTTGGAGTGGTGGTTGGCGACTGTTTGGACGTGCAAAGGGGGAGTGAAGAGGGAGGGGGGAGTTCGGCTTGTGAGTGTTGTGCGTGAGTGGGTGAATCGTGAGGTGAGTGTATGAGGGTTATGAGAGTGTGATTGTTATGTGAGGGGTATTTTGGGGATTTAATTATTTAGATTTAGTTTTTTTTTTGGACGTGCAAAGGGGGAGTGAAGAGGGAGGGGGGAGTTCGGCTTGTGAGTGTCGTGCGTGAGTGGGTGAATCGTGAGGTGAGTGTATGAGGGTTATGAGAGTGTGATTGTTATGTGAGGGGTATTTTGGGGATTTAATTATTTAGATTTAGTTTTTTTTAATATTTTTTATAATTAATTTTAAAATATGAAATTAATAATAAATTTTTTTTAAATAA